ATGCTAGTTGGGAGTAGGGGAGGGATGTACTGGGAGCTTGGAATTAGCAGATGCAAACTATTATATATAGAATGGATAAACAACAAGGTCCTACTGTATAGCACGGGGAATTTTATTTAATATCCTGTGATAAACAATAATGGAAAAGGATATGAAAAAGAATGTATACATATGTATAACTGAATCACTTTGCTGTATAGCAGAAATTAACATTGTAAATCAACTATACTTCAATACAATAAATTAAAAAAATTAAAAATGCTATTTTACAGATAAGGCAAGTGACGTACAATGGTTACTTTTTCTCTTTTGTAACATGCTTGATTTTCCTTGGAGTTAATAATGGTTTGCTTCATTATTTTATATGCTTGTCACCAATTCAACCCCATACTCTGTCAGTTGTCCAGATTTTATCAGCTGCATTAAGTCCTGTCTATTCATCTTCTTGAAGAAATCCCCCATTGTGTTTCCTAACTTGCTCTAAACTCTCCTAGTTTCTCTCAAGACCTGCTTCAGAATCGTCTACTTGGGAGCTTCCTGCACATCTTCCTGGTGATTTTTTTTGCTCTTATGTTGGATTACCTGTTTTTTTGCTTTCTTTGTCTTCCTGTTTCTTGGTTCACTTCCTTGTTTTAGTGTGACATAATCTTTGGTAGTTTTCTGAGAAAAGTATATTTGAGAAAAGGTTTTTCAGACTTATCAGAAAATATTTTTTATTTCACTGTAACTTTTAATCAATAGCTTGGGTATATAATTCTAGGTTGGAAATCATTTTCCCTTGTAATTTTGACTTCTAGTTTCCACAGTTTCTGTTGGGTTTTCCAATGCCGTTCTGATTCTTGATCTTTTGCAAGAAAAAAAAAAAATTGAAGCTTTCAGGATCTTCCCTACCTTCCTGTTGATCTGAAATTTCACAATGCTATTGCTTCATGTAGGTTCTATATTCATCTATTATATTAGAGTTTTGTGTACCTTTCAAGGTGAAAATTAATTTTCTTCAAATATGGGGAATTGAAAAAAATTATCTTGACTGTTTACTCTCTTTTTTTCTCTTCTCTCTTTCTGGATTTTCTTTTTTCTTTTCTAATATTTATTTATTTATTTATTTTAATTTTGGCTGCGTCAGGTCTTAGTTGCGGCATGAGGGATCTTCGTTGTGGCCTGCGGGATCCTCTGCTGCTGTGCATGGGCTTCTCTGTAGCTGTGGCGCAAGGGCTCAGTAGTTGCAGGGGGTGGGCTTAGTTGCCCCGCAGCATGTGGGATCTTAGTTCCCCGACCAGGGATCGAATCTGTATCCCCTGCATTGGAAGGCAGATTCTTAATCACTGGACCACCAGGGAAGTCTCTCTGGATTTTTCTATTATTTGGATCTTTGAGCGACTGGACTTTCTAATTCTCTATCTTTTAATTTCTATTTTCCATAGTTTTGTTTTACTTTCTGGAAGATTTCTTCTTCCTTCTAAGTTTTTTATTTCTGCTGTTATATTTTTGATTTCTCGGAGCTCCTTTTTTTGAAGTATTTTTTTGCTCACTTAAAAAAACAGTGTCCTATTCTTCGTGGTTGCAATATGTTCTCTTATCTTTTTGAGGATATTAATGATATTTTGTGAAGAAATTTTTTCTTCCTGCATTGTATCTGTCTCCTATAAGTTACTTTTTTTCCTGTTATTTTCTCTGGTCTCTGTCTTTCATATGAGACACTATCCTCAAATATCTGGTGATCCTTATTTGTGTGCTTCTTTTCTTCTTTTTTGGCCACGCTGCATGGCTTGGGGGAATCTTAGTTCCCTGATCAGGAACTGAACCTCGGTCTGCTCATTCTTAAGTGGGGCATTAAGCTGGCTGGAAGCTCCGTGTCTGTGAATGGGGCTGGTTGCCATGGTCTGTCCTGTAAGGCAGTCTGGTCATGTCAGTATCTTTAGAACTTTTCTACTGGGCTGGTGTGAATTACCAGAGGAGTTTCCTCTAATTTTTTTCCTGAAATGTCTGTACCCAGTTTCCAGTAGCTGGTGGGGAAGGCAGAGGAAGGTATCTCAAATTCCATCTTAACTTTTGCTTAATTCTACCTATACGGTTTCATAGAATGATTTTTTTGTGGGTTCTTTAGATGTAAAGAGGAAAGGAAAAAGCCTCTAAGCCCTGGGGGAGTTTTTATGGTCATCCTACAAAAGCAGGAGGGACCCGCACTCAGAGTTTGCTTCAGGTGTTGAGGCTGATGACATCATAAACACACCAAAGGGGTGTGAAATGGTTTGTTAGTTACGTAATGGGGATTTCTGAGGGTGAGCAGGCAGGCCTCTCATGCAGGTCCAGAATGGCTTGAGCTAGCAAGGGAAGGAGCGAAGGAAGCTGGCCTTTTCTTTTGTGGTCGGGGGGCAGGGGGTGGGCTGGGGTGAGAGTTCACGTGCAGAGAGGATGCTGTGGTTTGAATCTTCCCCCCTGCACCAAAGCAGGGAGCGCCCTGGCTTTCTTACCCGCTTCCTCAGATGCTGGCACAAGGGGAAGAGGGAAGGGTGAGGTTTGAGATGATAAAAGAAATTTTCACATATTGAGATTATAGGGAAGTCATTCTGGCTTATACATGAGTTAACTTGAATTTGATGCCAACTAAAATAGCCTGTTTGTGGCCTATCAAACGTACATTGTACATCTGCCTTAATTATTAAAGAAAAGTAAAGAAAGTCCATGTTAAAAATAATGATTAAATGCCCCTTTTCCTGGGACGCCAATGCTGGTCCTCCTTGGATAAGACTCCCTTCCCAGGTACCAAGGCCATGATGGACATGCTGTATGTGCACGTGCTGGTCTGTTTTTTTTTGAAACCTTGGAGAAATGTTTCCCTGACTTGTTTAACGTTCTTTGTTCTGACAAGATGTAAAACTGTGCTGAAAACCCTGCTTCTCGAGAGCAGTTTCTCAGAGTAATCTGGGAAGCGGGCTTCCGCGCTACAGTCCTCAGTTTGACTCAAATAAAACTCTTTTCTATTCTTTTTTTTTTTCAGAGTTCATTAACTTTTATTGAAATAAACACAGGAAAAAGCAACCTCCACTTTTTCATAGCATGTTTTACATATTTGCAGGTGCAGAGAGTTCTACTAGGAAAAGGAGATTTTGTTGATATTGATAGACATCAAAAACGAATATGCACTAGTATATAGTATGGATCTGTGGTTTAAAATTTATACTAATGGCATCATATAGTGCTTGTTCACTGCAACTTGTTTTTTCCCAGTAAATATATTTTCAAGATTCAAATATGCTGATAAATAAAGGTTAAGTTCATTCATTAAAAAATGATTATGCATTCATGGGATACTTTAGATATGCTATCAATTGCTTTGGATATATCCTTTTTGTTCTTAAAAAATTTGTTTTATTGAAGTATGTTTGCTTTACAATGTTGTGTTAGTTTCAGGTGTACAGCAAAGTGATTCAGTTATACATATATATTTTTCTATTCTTATTATTGATTACATATTGATTATTTTCATCATCAGAGAGCTGCCAGCAGTCTAACGTCCAATGATGGAGTCAGAATCCTCCCTACAGCTCTGAACAGAGGGCAGAACAAATGTTTTAAGGATGATACAGAAAATGTTCCTAGGGGAGATGGTCCTGCTCAGTCCCAAGAGAGAGAACAACTTATTTAAAAGTCCAGTTCTCCCTTTGTGGGGCTGATACGGGAGCCAGGAGCTCAGAGGTGATTCTGTTGTTAGGAGAACTTGTTCAGAAGCCTTCAGAGTAGTGGTTTGCAGAGTGTGGCCTGTCACCAGCAGCAGCAGCGGCTCCTGTTAACAAATGCAAATTCCCAGGCACCACCCCGACCTACCGACTCTGAAACTCTGTGGGTGAGGCCTGCACCCTCTGTTTTAACAAGCCCTCCAGGTGAGGCCAACACACGCTCCCACTGAGAACCACAGATGGAGAGTTTACAAGTGAAGACAAGTCCGGGAAGCAGCCGGAGAACTAAATGGCACAGCATCATGAAGAAACAGGACTTTAAAAATTTCCACTGGAAGGTGGAAAAAAAACAGGTCTCTGAGAAGGGCAGGAGGAGGGGAAGTGTTTGCAGAGGGGAGAGGAGCCCAGCCATGTGGCAGAGGTGAGGGTCTGAGTGGGGAAGAGAGTTGGTAAGAATTTCCAACAGGTAGGGATGACCAAAGAACTCTTACCAGTGGTGATGTGTGATGCTCTGCTGTAAGTTGACGTCAGTTTTACATGACCAACTTGTGTGGTGCAGTGGGGAAGGAAGGGGAAGACGTCAAAGGGAAAAAAAAATTCATCATACTCTGTGTAAAAAGGGTAATTAAAAATTATTTTATTGAAGTATAGCTGATTTACAATGTTGTGTTAGTTTCAGGTGTACAGCAAAGTGACTCAGTTATACATAATATAGTCATTCTTTTTCGTATTCTTTTCCATTATGATTTATCACAGGATACTGAATATAATTCCCTGTGCTATACAGTAGGACCTTGTTGTTTATCCATTCTCTATACAATTGTTGGCATCTCCTAACCCCAAACTACCAATCTAACCCTCCCCTACCTCTACCACCCCCTGGCAACCACAAGTCTGTTCTTTATGTCTGTGAGTCTGTTTCTGTTTTGTAAATAAGTTCATTTGTGTCATATTTTAGATTCCACATATAAGTGATATCGTATGGTGTTTGTCTTTCTCTTTCTGACTTACTTCACTTAGTATGATCATCTCTAAGACCATCCCTGTTGCTGCAAATGGCATTATTTCATTCTTGTTTATGGCGGAGTAGTCTTCCCTTGTATATATGTACCACATCTTATTTATCCATTCATCTGTCGATGGGCATTTAGGTTGTTTCCATGTCTTGGCTACTGTGAATAGTGCTGCTATGAATGTAGGAGTGCATGTATCTTTTCGAATTATAGTTTTGTCTGGATATACGCACAGGAGTGGGATTGCAGGATTTTATGGCAAGTCTATTTTTAGTTTTTTGAGGAACCTCCATACTGTTTTCCATAGTGGCTGCACCAAGTTACATTCCCACCAACAGTGTAGGAGGGTTCCCTTTTCTCCACAGAGAGGGTACATATTTTTTATTTTTCCTTACCAATGCGTTCCCCAATGCATTCAGTATCCACTGACTAAATAAATGAGGTGTCTGAGTATTTTTAGAATTTATGGCAAGGACCTAGGCATATATATGTAGATAGTTAGATAGAAAAAAATTTAAAGTAGTTTGTTGCTGTAGGCATCTTCTATATTAAAAGTAGAAATAAAAGATAATTGGCATGCATTTGATTTTCCTCCATAAAGGTGATATGTAAATTCCTCTTAAATAGAATATACCTATATCTATAAATACCTATAGAAGTAGTCCAAAGCATCTACATTTTCCTTGAAAATTGTTAAAATGAAGCCTATCCCTGTAGACAGATGTCTTATAAGCTTCTAGAATAGTTTCCCCCGTACTTTAACAAAGTTAAACATTCTAATTAGGGAATACTGGAAAATAAAAATAATGCAAAGAAGAACGACTGAAGTTATCCACAGCACCACGCCTTGAGGTGAACAGAATCCTGTGGAGTTTTAGGGCCGGGAGTCCCCGTGGTTGGCACCCCCCCCCCACTTTCCTGAACCCCCTTCTCTCCTGACTGCCAGCTCAGGGTCTTGCCCTGCACACTCTTGTTTATTGATTTAGACCAAAGCTTCAGTATCAATTGTCATCCTTTACCATTTTGTGTACTTCTCCATCATGGCCATTGCGGATGAAAAAAAGGTCAAGACTCCTTCCTTGAAGAAGCTGTGCTCTTTCTTCCAAGTGTGTCTTCTTCTTTACTATCCATTAATTCTTAGTATCCGTGAATCCTGCTCTGTGAATCCATCCATTCTTCTGGCTCCCATGATCTCAGGCTCCCCTACCGATTTTTTGATCTCAGCTCTCTTTTCTGTAATAATTTCACGTCTCCATCTGCCTTTCTTTGTGCTCTGTTTCCTCCAAGTCATTATGTCTAGCAGGGAATTCTGGTTTCCTCCTCTGAATTCAAAAAAAAAAAAAAGAAAAATAAGGTCAACTCTCTGGATTTACCTGTTTATGTCACTGGCATCATCGTTCTTTTTGTCACTAATGCTGTCAACCAACTCCTTCTCTCATCTCTGTTCTGGAACCTCCGTCAGTTGGTAGTTCTTGCATGAAAGCATCTGTGCTGACTCTTTTTTTCTTGGCTGCGCTGCACAGCTTGCAGGATCTTAGTTCCCTGACCAGGGATCGAACCCAGCCCCCCTGCAGTGGAAGTGCCGAGTCTTAACCACTGAACCGCCAGGGAAGTCCCCTGTGCAGACTCTTAACTCTTTTTGTTTCTTACCCTTTTGCCCTTAAATTATTGCAGTTATCTCATGGATGGCTTCCCCTCCAAGCCTCACTTCCAAGCGCTGCAGAATTAACCTTCATAAAGACATTACTCTTATCCATCATTCTCTTGTTCAGGAAACTTCAGGAGCTTCCTATTGTCCAAAGGATAAAATCCACCATGCTCATCCTGGTGCCTGGCCCTCCCACAATGGGCCAGCCATCCTTCAACCTCATCTTCCCCTATTTTCCAATGAAAGAGCATCCCTCTAACTAGGATGTCCTATATCCACTCCTCTGAATCCCCCTCTTCCTCTGGCTCACATTTTCCCTTCCAGTTTTACTTCAGATGCAATATTTTCCTTGTAAAACCTTTTCTAATCAACCAACCAACCCACAGCAATTTTCCCCTTGTTTGAACTTTGAAAGCCCTTCCTATCCCATGTATTTGGCTCCTAATTATAAAATTATAGCTTCTTTCTATGGAGCTGAGTCCCTACTATGCACCCAGCACTGTTCTAAGCTGTTCTTAATTCATTTATTCATCACACAATGAGTGGAGTAAGTCCAGTTATCACCTCCATTTAACAGGTGAGGAAACAGACATGGGCAGGTGAAGTAACTTACCCAAGGTCACAGGATGGTAGAACCAGGATCTGAATCCAAACGGTGGCTTAGAATCTGCCCTCTTATCTACCCATCACTGCCTCCCTGTATGCACTGCCTTCCACTGCTGTTACGCACCGCTTGTTTGTGCACATTTGTATGTGTGTTGCCTTCCCATTTAAATTGTACGCCCCTTGAAGGCGGGGGCCACAACTCACATGCACGCTCCAGAAGGCCCAGCAGAAAGCTGTGTGCTTCCATAAACGTTAAATGTTTCCGTTGAATGGTTTGTGGAGACTTTTTTTTATTCCTGAGATGATCTAGCTCGTTTTCATGAATTGAAAAGGTAGTCTCAAAATCAGATCTGACTAAGTCATGACCAAGGAAAGGTAAAAAAAAAATCAAGGAGTAAGCCAGTGTCCTGGCCTCAGGGCTTGGGTCCAGTGGAGTCTGATCATTTCGCAAATGACACCTGAAGTCTGAAGAGTAATGAGGGCTTAACCCGCCTGCACACCTCTCCCTGTGCTTTGCAGTGACTGGAAAGTGAACTTGGCTAAGGCCTGCATGTCAGCAAATAATTCACCTTGACTCTAGAACTTGCAGCTGAATGTCCATCATTGAAAATGCAATTACTCTTTTCCACTGTTTTTTCTTCTTCTTTTTCTACTTCTTCTTTTGAAGCCAAGTGTGAGCTGTGGGTGGAAAGGTTTGATACAATTCTTCTCTGTTCTCAGGGGCCTGGCTGACAGACTGCTCAAGAAAAATTCCACCCAAATGCCTGGTGTACCAGGAAGAGGCAAACAGCTGGAGGGATGATAGAGAAGATATGACTTAACCCACTGAATTGTGTCACAGGCTTACTTAAAGCTGCATCACAAATAGTGGTTTTTGATTGTTTCCTCTTCCTAGAATGAAATGTCTTCAGAAGCCTTTTCAGATTACTTTAAATTATTTGTAAGTTTAGGCAAAACCATCTTTCTTAAGAGCCATTCACTTAAAAACATTTTTTTAAATTTTTAAAACATTTTATTGAAATATAGTTGATTTACAATGTTATGTTAATATCTTCTGTACAGCAAAGTGATTCAGTTACACATATATGTATTCTTTTCCATATTCTTTTCCATTGTGGCTTGTCACGGGATATTGAATATAGTTCCCTGTGCTGTACAGTAGGAGCCATTCACTTTTAAAAAGTGGATATGGTTCTCAAGTTATGTGCCAGCTTGGTGTTGAATAGCATTTTCTAGTATTCTTCAAGGACTTTATGAGTGAAAAGAATGACCTGTAGTTACTTTGTGATGATGATCATGATGATTATTATTATTTTGCGATACGCGGGCCTCTCACTGCTGCGGCCTCTCCCGCTGCGGAGCACAGGCTCCGGACACGCAGGCTCAGCGGCCATGGCTCACGGGCCCAGCCGCTCCGCGGCATGTGGGATCTTCCCGGACCGGGGCATGAACCCGTGTCCCCTGCATCGGCAGGCGGACTCTCAACCACTGCGCCACCAGGGAAGCCCTGTGATTATTATTAACCTGCATAAAATTTGCCTTTTGCAAAGCCCTTAGAGACACACGTACACTTTGAAAGAAATAAATGATTGTTTATTTTGGGTCATGAACTAGACCTATTGTGCACAGAGTTGGGCCTAAACAAACCTGGGCCTGGTTCCTGCCCTGGAGGCATTTGCCCTCTGGGTGTGAAGACCAGATTAGGCCTGAGGCCCACCTGTCAGCCACACACTCTTCCTCAGATGTCTCAGTACCCTTGATAATATTCAACCTTTGTTTACACTCTGCCGGACCTAGATTTGATTTCTGGGGTTGTTTTCCCTGTGGACCTGGGAGGTAACCACCCTCAAGGCTGCCGGTTGTGCACCCGACTGGCACTTTGCACAGTTATGCAGTGCCCAGCCTGCACATCAACACATGACGGCTCTGAACACTGTGTCTAGATGATTTTTGCAGATCGCCAATCTCATTTATTTTGTATTGGTATCACTGGTTTCATACTCAGAGTTCTGGAGGAGGTCACCATAACTTTTATCCCCATGGACTAATGCTGTAAGACACAAATGACAGAAAAGAAAAAGCAGAAGTTCATTTTAAATACAAGACAACAATAAGCTACAGATTAGATGACTTGGAAGATGCATTCTCAAACTTCAGAGGTGGAGCCATTATAGTGGAAACATGGTTTAAGTGTCAGAATATTTGGCTTCTACTACGGGTTCAATTTATTAACATGTTGACCCTTGGTGGGGGGCATTATTTAACTTCTTGGAACCTCTAAGAAGGGCCTACCCACTTCCCTGGGCTGTAGGAAGCTCACAAGAGCTGCCGGAGACAGTGGCAGACAGAAATGCTATGGGCACGGGTAAGGCCCAGTCCTCGCTCTGAGTAGGGATGTGGGAGTGGTCTGCGAAGGTGAGTCCTGAGAAGGGATTACATTTTGCATTGGTTGTGCTCAGACTGAAGGAAGGAGCAGTGTTCCTAACCCTCGCTGCCTCCAACACTTAGCACAGAGTGAGGAACTCCTTGTTTTCGAGATGAATGGAAAAAATAGATGAAACTCACAAATCCAGAGAAAAGTGGAACACACATGGATCCAAGCTCTCAAATTTTCCAAATTAACAAATATCTTCTTAGAATGCTTACCGTGTGCCAGCCATAAATAGGCCCTGAGTGTATAGCAACGCACACAACAGGGCAGTCTTTGCCTTTAAAAGGTGTGCTGGCTGGCAGGGTGAGAAGACTTGTAAAAAGTGATTAACAATATATTGCATATTATAAGGAGAAACCTAGGTGCATCGTTAGGAGTCTGACAATTGCTAATTTTACGATTATTAAACACATTGAAATCCATGTGCATAACTTACCTCTAAAAGGAGTTTTTAGAACAAAATGAGAGATTGATAAGATTTGCTAGACTCCTTTTCTCCTGTAAGAGAGGCTTGTTTGTAGATTTTTTTGTGGTGTCTATTTATAGAGACCCAATGCATGATACAAAAAGGACAGATTTTCCCAGAGAACATCTAGCAGCATTATCAGCTTAAAGTTATTTATCTTCAAAGCATTTATTGAACATTTACTAAGTGTAAGGAGATACCAGACCCTGCCGTTAGAAATCGCTGCTCAATACAGCCCACTAGACACATGTAGCTACTATGTCCTTGAAATGTAGCTAGTTCAAACCGACATGTGCTATAAATGTAAAACAGACCCTGGATTTTGAAGACTTAATATGTGGAAAATATCTCATTAGTAATTTTTCATATTGATTACATATTGAAATGATAATATTTTGAATACATTAAATATAATCTATTAAGATAAATTTTACCTGTTTCATTTTACTTTTTAAAATGTGGTTACTAGAACATTTACAGTTATTAAGTGTGACTTACATTTGTGTCTTCTATTATCTTTCTGCTGAACAGTGCTGCTTTAGAAGATAATAGACTAGGGAGACAGGCAAGGAAACAAATCATCAGAAGTCACCAGGACAAGTGCTCTAAGGGAAAGAGGTATGAAGCGTAGAGGAGGGTGCAGCCCTTTCGCTGGTGTGATCAGAAACAGATTCAAGGGGGGAAGGAACGTAGGCCAGGGAGAGAGAGAAGAATGCATAAGGCAGGGAAGAAAGCGTGGCAGCTTTAGGAAAGCATCTACCTTTAGGGGGACAGAGGAAAAAGCCTCGGGGCAGCAGGAGGAAACTATAGAAATACTGTTTTCAAAGCTTCCCATGACATAGTTAAAATTGTGTGTCTCTTATTTAGAACATTATTATTTGTTTGTCTTGCCATCTGAGTGACAAGACTATTTTTCTTAGAAAAATTACTCGAATAGCATGACTGTATTACCTCAGGCACCCCTAGATGGCACTGTGCTCTAGGACTGAAAAGCCGGCAGGTCAGGAAAAGTGGAGATTTCTTGGCTGTCTCAGTGGCCTAAATTTTTCAAGAGTACCTCTATCATTTTTGAGCATGCGAACCCGATACATACGTGTCTATTTATTTAGACATATATATACCTAATACTGCACTAATACACTATGTCCATCATTAGACATACATATCTTTCCTGCACTCTGGTGGATTGTTTTTGGGTTGCGTGCATCTCCCCAGGGTGTGTTCATGCCACTTTGAAGAACACAGGTCTATTTCATGATTTTTATCTTTATGAAGATGAAAGTAACACCAAAAAAAAAAAAAAAAATCGAAAACAAGAAACATTTTACTGCACACGGGTATTAAAATAGGCATTGTAGTTACATGTCAATCCACTTAAAGTACTAAAATTAAAAGACTAAAATGAGAAAAGGTCAAGACTTGGTTGCCTGGAGATCTTTATAGTTTTCCATTTTAAGCCAGACTTGATCTAACATATGAGAATCATGAATGAGTTAAAACAGCAGACCAAGTACTATGGAATTTTTAGGAGAACACTTTCCTGACTTTTTAGACCAATACTATTTTATTCTTGCCCTGATTTCATAGAATTGACTCTGTAGAAGGAGGTTTTCGTTGTTTTGTAAAATATGATGGACTTTTGGATTTCAGAGAACATGTGATCCTCGCTGGTCAGGTGATCCCACTGGTCATGTGATCCCTGCTGGTCCATTCAGCTGTGGCAGAGGCAGGGGCTGAATTGCAGAGAGATCAACTTGAGACCCACTCCTGTGATTTGGAGGTGACATCAGATTTCAGAGAATAAGGATTATGAAGTAGGCAAAACCCCATATGTATTATTTGGAGAAGGATAATTCCAGGTAATTACATTTGTACAAGATTAATTTTTTCTTTTGGTAAGACATGTGCAGTGTGGTATTGATGTGGAAACTGGATTTAGGAGTTAGTAACCTCCATGATGACCATGATGCTCTTCTAACCAGTGTTGACTTAAAAAACAGGCACAATGTGAGAGTTGCGAGTTAAGTTTTATTTGGGGCAAAATGAGAACTGCATCCTGGGAGACAGCATTTCAGATAGCTCTGAGGAATGCTCCAAAAGAGGTAGGGGGGAAGGTCAGTTTATATGTGATTTTGGTGAAAGAGGAGTACATGCTATCAAGCACATATTTTTTTTACAGAAGGTTCCTGCTAGTCTCGTGCAGGTTACTGCCAGTCACGAGGAGCAGACGTCACCATGAAGGATTTTAGTGCTTTTCTAGATATGAGGAGATACAAGAATTGGGCTCGTAAAATCAGCTCCTGAAAATATCTAGCTATCTGAAGACCTGTTGTGCCAGTTTCTCCCAGAGCACGGAGTGCCTCCTTTCTGCTCTCCACCCTGAACTCCGTTCAGGGGGTGTTGAGAGTCACCAGCTGCAGCAGCACATGATTTAATCCTTGTAGAGGTAGATAGCAAGTGCCAATTTGTAGCTGACACCAGTTTGTTCATCAGTCTGAACTCACTGCAGTTCAAATAGGGAACAGGGTTCTTTTCCTCTTGGTGTGGACTCCAACCACTGTCTCTCAAACCTCATATGCTGCCTTGTAATGACTCTCTGGACACTTGTACTAACTCTGCAGATATTTTTAGGGCATTTAATAGCCTCAGTTCAATAGAATTTAAATTCTCATTTCCATTCTAAAGTTCCCCTCCCTCCACCCACTGGCCAGGCTGGTGTTTTGGGGTCTGGGAGCAGTGTGTGTGTGTGTGTGTGTGTGTGTGTGTGTGTGTGTGTGTGAGAGAGAGAGAGAGAGAGAGAGAGAGAGGGAAGTTGCCTTCCATGCATACTCCCTCTAAACAGCAAGGATGCTCAAGTTCAGCTACCTCCCATGGTGTGCACTTGGCCCACGGGAAACCCAACATCCCTGTTTAGCCAAACCACACATGGGCCACTCGCCTCTCCCCATCTACCATTTCTGTCCAAGTTACTCTTTCCTGTCTAGGGCAGTAGGGTAGCTAAGCAGACAGCCAACTGGGAGAGGCACCAGCTCTCCTTCCTGAGGCCCCAAGTTTCTATCCAAGGATTCTCTTGAAGCCTCCCTGGCTTGCTTTCATTCAAGAGGAGAAGAAGCCACCTTCTTCCACCTCCTCCTAGTGTGCTGAGCCATGGCCTCCCATCCTGGGCAATTCTATCCACCCACGCCACCCCCCGCCCCGCCCTCCAACCCCCAGGCATTATCACTGAGTACAGAGCATCCTTTATACTTACTAACTCAATCTTTAAACCAACACAATAAGATACTTCTTAGGAAGTGAGGAAACTGAGACACCAAGAGGTGAAAGACCTTGTCAAGGTCACACAGCTAGCAGGTGTGAAGACTAGGATTCGGAACTAGACAGTCTGGATTTGAAGCCCAGGATCTTGGGCAGGAAGTTTTCTGAGAAGTGTGTGGCAGTGGTAAGGGCCAAGGTGTGTATATGGTGCTGGACCTAGGCTGGAGGTAACAGAGCTAGGTGACTGTCTCTTACTAAGTCCTAGGAAGTCAGTACCCTGGGTGTTTGTGGCTTTCTTGAGAAGTCTACTCAGCTTTGAATATTTTCTACTTCCAAGACAAGAGGAAGATGATGCCTATAGGATCCCTAAAGGCACTTGTTGCCTTGAGTCTTTAAAAAAATTCTTCATGTGGTAATATTTTAAAGCAGATCAGCCATGACTACATGATATAAAGAGCCCTAATTTAAAAGAATGCTCGAGCACATGGGACACCTGTCTTTCCTCAACGTCCATGCTGCCACTAGAGTTTTGATGGATGGATTGATTAAGTTGATAGTTTTCTCCTTTTATTTTATTATTATTTTTTAAAAATTGAAGTGTAGTTGATTTATAATATTGTGTTAATTTCAGGTGTACCACAAAGTGATTCAGATATATATATATATATTCTTTTTCAGACTCTTTTCCATTATAGGTTCTTATAAGGTATTGAATATAGTTCCCTGTGCTATACAGTAGGTTCTTGTTGGTTATCTACTTTATATATAGTAGTGTGTATTTGTGAATCCCAAATTCCAAATTTATCCCTCCCCCACCCTCTTTCCCCTTTGGTAACTGTAAGTTTGTTTTCTATGTCTGTGTGTCTGTTTCTGTTTTGTAAATAAGTTCATTTGTATCATTTTTTAAGATTCCACATATAAGTGATATCATATGATATTTGTCTTTCTCTGTCTGACTTACTTCACCTAGTATGATAATCTCTAGGTCCATCTATGTTGCTGCAAATGGCATTATTTCCTTTTTGTTTATGGCTGAGTAATATTCCATTGTATGTATGTGCCACATCTTCTTTATCCATTCCTCTGTTGATGGCCATTTAGGTTGCTTCCATGTCTTGGCTATTGTGAATAGTGCTGCTATGAACATTGGGGTGCATATATCTTTTCATATTAGAGTTTTCGTCTTTTCTGGATATATGGCCAGGAGTGAGATTGCTGTGTAAGTTGCTAGTGTCATGGTGGGGGTATTTTGAGTGGCCATAGTTTATCAAAGTAAGAAGCAGAATTTAGGGAAGAAAGTAAGCTGAGGACTTACTAAGGCTGACAAAGTCTATATTTTCTCTCAGTCACAAACCTGGATAAATAATAAAATGTTAGGTTGATAAGTAACAATAATTTCTTCTTTAAAAGTCCTTGTATTAATTACTTGTCTAGTAACTGAAGCACAATTTTGACAACCTTTGGCAATTCACCTTTGGAATGCATTTTCTGTCTGCTTTGGTCCTTGGAAGTAGCAGAGGACTTGAATTTATGACCTTCCTCACTGTGCTTTACCGAATGAGTCATTCCTGGTGGGGCGGGGGTGGGGTGGGGGTTTGGGGGGTTGCTCATGCCAGTTGTCTTCATTAAATCTGGAGAAAGTCACCATCTCCATGGCTCTGGGGATTAGATTCTGCCATAGTGAGGTGAATGGAGGGTCCTGTGGATAAAATTTAAAATTCAAAACAAGAAGTAATAAAAGACACGTGATGAGTTACTTTTTGCCCCACAGGAAGGAACAGTCTCAGATCTTGGCTGACCTGATTCTGCTGATGACTCAGCTCCGAAGGGCACCTCATTCCGGAAAGTGAATCAAGTAATGACGGTAAGTTATATATGTAACAGAGAGAGAGGGCTCCCTGGTGCTGTATTTAAGCCAATGTTTTGTCACCCCTTCTGTCTGTGATTCCTCAGATATGACAGTTAGGTCAGCGTAGGGAAATGAGCTTTTCTGATGAGGATGTGATCACCAGGTTAACTTGTTTTGCCTTGATTGTGCCCTTTTGAAGATCAAGTTCTTGAACTTCCCAGACTTTGAATTAAAGAAACATTCAATTTCAGGTTAGCCTTGGGGGTTCCAATGCTGTGACACGACTTCTATTGAAAAATATAAACATCACACCATGTGTGTGACATTAGTATTTTCATGGCTTTGTTTGTAGGTTACATGTGTGTTACATGTTGATGTCTGTAATGACACTAGACCCAGCTCTGCTTCTAGTCATGATCCATTGATATTAATGCATTTTCCCTGTCTTACTGAACTCACTTAGGATCAAAGTTCTAGAATTTTAGTGTTAGTCTGTGACACTTGTAAACTGGGGACAGAACTGAACTTTAAGGATCAACCAACCTACTAGGCAGCATGTAATCTTCTATATGACAAAATTAAACAGAATATATTCTTTAAATATTCTTTATTGTATTTCTGTGTTCTGCAGAATTTTGGGGGATAAGGCACTGATATTAATGAACAATTTTATTTATATATTGTGTGCATCTGTAAATTATTTAAATGCACTGTGATATTATTCGATAATGCGCATTATAAAACATATACAAACTTATGATTTTTAAAAAGGATGAGGTAAACAAATATAAATTGAAGCTCTGATCTTTTCTTCTTGCCTATCCTGGGGTACATGCTCTCTACTTGGACTCCTTTGCAGAGGTTCACAGACTTATAAGTAGATCCACCTTTTGCATAGCTATGTAAATAGAAACAAAAAAACGATATCATCATTCTGGAAGGAACTTCTCAGAGTCTGCTTGTCCAGCATGTTTTTTAGGCACAATTATGAGGTTATTTCTAAGGTGAAAACTAATTCGACAGTTCTCAAAGTTCTAAATTTTCAAGGAACTAGCTCAGTCGTGTAGGAGTCGAGTTATCCCAAATAAGTGGAAAAACCTCAGTGGGTGACATCACCCTCTGATTCATGCCTCCTCTGTGTGTCCTTCAATCTCCATGGAATCAAAATTCACTTGAGAGACAGTGGTGCCCAGGACCTGGGAAAAATACATCTCCATCCAGGATCCCTGCTCTGTGGCCTGAGTCACAGGCACACAAAACCATGGGGTGGTTAAGGACCCATGTGATACCAAGGTCGGAACCTACTCACAGGAGTAACTTCATTTGTTTCATCTCTGGAAGCCCCTATAAGGCCACTTCTAACTGACAGAATGGAAGGGTACATTCAATTTTTCTTCTTCCATGGTAGTTTGCAACCAAGCAGAGAATAGCTTGTTCAAATGAGAAAGGGTAGGGCATTTATTTGAATCAATATTGAGAGCCAGAGAAGAAACTCATCTGTGTCTAATATTTCCATTTGCTAGTGGTGTGTCTAAGCCTCGTTACCATAGCTTCTGAGAGCTTTCACCCAGACTTGGATGGGGTTGGGTTCCTCTGGAACGCCATCTCTGCTGGGATGGCCCTCCTTTGGCATCTTTCTCTTCTCCAAGGCTGTTCACATCTCACTTATCCAGGGAGAATGTTTCTTGATTCCACATTTTTAAAGTCCAGCTCAGAAAATTTCACAGTGTTTTCAAAGATGTCATTTCATTTGATCTTCATAATCCTCCAAGGTTGTTGGTGTCCCCATTTTATGGATAAAGAAACAGTCTCAGGGAGGTTAAATGACCTTTAGTGAGTGGCAGAGCTAGGAGGAGAACGCTGGTCTTCTGACTTCTACCCCAAACAAAAGATAAGAAAAATTATAGCGTAGGAAGTGTATTTTATTATTGCATTAAGCATATCCCAATGAATTCTAGTGTATATTTTTTATATCCCAATATAAATACCTTGGCTGCACCTGTATTCCCTCCTCCCAGCAGAACTAATTATCTTAGTGCTAGAAATTGATTATAAGGAAACGAAGTGTTCAGTGACATCTTAAGAAGGCCCCATTGATTGATTGATTGAAGTGTAGTTGATTTCAAGTGTACAGTTATATATATATATGTACATATATATATTCTTTTTCTGATTCATTTCCATTATAGGTTATTACAAGATATTGAGTATAGTTTCCTGTGCTATACAGTAGGACATTGTTGTTTATTTTATATAAAGTAGAGTGTATATGTTAATCCCAAACTCCTAGTTTATCCCTCCCCCCTTTTCCCTTTTGGTAACCATATGTTTGTTTTCTATGTCTGTGAGTCTGTTTCTGTTTTGCAAATAAGTTCATTTCTATACTAACATCTTCTTTATCATGTATCTTTTTGAATTAGAGTTTTCTCCAGATATATGCTCAGGAGTGGGATTGCTGGATCATATGGTAACTATGTTTTTAGTTTTTTAAGGAACCTCCATACTATTCTCCATAGTAGCTGCGTCAGTTTACATTCCTACCAGCAGTGTCGGAGGGTTTCCTTTTCTCCATACCCTCTCCAGCATTTATTATTTGTAGACTTAAAAAAAAAAATACTATCATATTTGCATTTTATGGTTCATTTTTTAATTGAACTATAGTTAATTTACAATGTTGTGTTAGTTTTTGGTATACAGAGAAGTGATTAAGTTATACATATATATTTTCTCTTTTAGATTCTTTTGCATTATAGTTTATTACAAGATACTGAATGTATTTTGTAGACTTTTTGATGATGGCCATTCTGACTGGTGTGAGGTGATACCTCATTGCAGTTTTGATTTGCATAAGAAGCCCCCTTTTAAATGAAACTCTTGAATTCAGTGTTGCCTTGGAAATGTGTTCTTCACTTCCGGGGACATTTAACTGCCTTGTAGAGGGACCAGAATTTACATTCTCGCCATGGGCTGTCACAGAGATAAAGCTGGCAGCTTAAGAGAGCAGCCAGCTAAGTGAGGTGTGTTAGTCACCAAACAGCTTAAAAGTTCTTGGATCACTTTTCTCTACTTTATTGTTCAGTTTTTGTTTGGGGAAAGTGAACGGTCTACCCTCTTGCTTCCTAACTCAAGATTCCTCCAGCTCTGGCTACTTCGGTGTTTGCCTCTTTGTACCTGGAGCTGCCTCTTTACATTTTGCCTCTTTTTCTCCATCTACTCCCAGGTTTCTGTCTTATTATCTCTCTCTCTCCTTATATTTCCCTTTGCTTCTTTCTCATTTTCTCTCATATTATCTGTCACTTTGATTTTCTATAAACACATAAGTATTACTAACAGATTACAGATTCTTATAAATGATGAGGGGAAATTTAGAACAGTTTTCTTTGAGAATTTTCAGATTATTCTCTGTGTGTGTATGTGTGACTAAAATTTAGTTTATTTATTGACATGTTATTTTCTTAATCCTAATCCCTAAATGGATCACTGAAATACACTGGAGTCTTGCTCACATCCACTCTCTTGCATAAGTGCCGCGATGGGATCCTTTCCAGAAAACTCTGCCATTCTAGATCAAATACATTTGCATAGGTAGTATTAGAATCTTGCAAAAACATGCTCCTTCTGAAATGTGACTGCAGGGGAGATGGAGGCCAGCAGGTGTCAGGCTCACCCAGTAGAGGATCTGAGAATGTTTTCTCGAGGTTTTTTTTTTTAAGGTAGTTTGCTTTTTTTGAATGAACTTTTGAAGGACCAAAGTTAGGCTCTTGTTGGTCTTAAAGCAAACTGTGGGTTGGTTGAAAGAGAAAGGAGATCATTTCAAGCCTGTATCACCACATATCCAAAGTGGTATGCTGATTATCATTTAATAGGTGATTCATTTTATTTTCACTTGCCAGGTGATTGATTCATGATAGAGAAGAGAGGTCCCATAGCTGTGCCTTTGGATCCATACAGCAGTGTCCTAGCCCCCGGAGTTTTGGAGTTAGTCATCATCTACACCAACCACACACCCACCCACCCTATTTTCAGATGAGGAGAGAGAGATCTAGAAAAGATTTGTTTAAAGACTCACAGGAAGAGGATCAGTCAGGATGAAAATCAAGAGTCAGAGTAGGCGAGTCTTCAACAAGCTTGAATGATGATAAGGCATTATTGGAGTCCAGAGCTTGGGACCATGATATTGACCTTGGGGGTTCTCTGGACTCCAGGCTCTGTTCTCAGTGTCGTCATGTTCAGATCAAGGGGGCAAGAGAAACATCAGACTGGAGAGGGCTGCCCAAACCTGCGCTTGTTCACAAGTGATGACCCTCAGGGTAATCCCCATAGCAACAAGGATGAGCATGATTATGCTGGAGGAGGAAAGCAAGTCTAGGAATGGCCTGTTTGAGGGGGGCTGTTAGGCAGTCAGCTCCCAATGTTTCTTCTCCTCAGGCACCCCAGCTGTTTGAGAGGGGCCTGGGGAGGTTGCTGTTTACATCATCACCTGGAAAGCACTTCTTCTTGTTGGTCTGTGGTTTTAACTGACTAGCAAGCCAGAAATCACTGTGGTTCACTTCTTCTAGTTCCTGAAGATGTCTGAAGTGAAGGACACTCTGCCATTTGCTGGGGGTTCCCTGAACCTGAGCAGACCGCAGAGCTGTGGGCCCAGCTCTGACCCAGGGCCAGACGCCGATGGTGGCTTTTACAAAGGAGAGTGCTTGCCAGCCTTGCTGATGTAACTGGCTCAACAGACATGGGAAGCAGCTCAAGGTAGCCTCCCTAAGAGCGACTCTCCCTGTGTTTCCAAAGTCATGTAGGAATGTCAAATACTTTTTGTTTAAATGTTTGTTTGTTAAATGGAACTGCTCTACAAAGCAGAGGATACAGATAACTTTGAAAGAGGCTGCTAGGTAGGGCCCTAGTCTAGCCAGTTAGTACCAGCTTGGTGCACACGGAGTGTACTGCCTGGATCTTTCTTCAGGGAAGAGCTTGCCGGCCAGCTGTGGGGAGTGCAGTGAGCAGACAGTCCGCACTTGTCA